GAGCTATATTTCAACATCATCTGACTCCAATTCTCCATCTTTCAATGAGAGGGATAAAAACATTCCCTCTGAGACACGGAGCGTTCCCTGTCTCGTGTGGAGGCCAACTTTACTACAACCTCCTAGCGACCAAAAAGATGAATTCCAGTTCTCAGGTGGCTGGCGCCTGTTGCCCGTCAGGCCTACTTTGCTCTCCCTGGCATCACACGTGTGCTTTTTCTGTAGTGTGGGGCCTGGCCTGGCTTGTGCAGACCTTGCAGGGCTCGGGCCCGAAGAGGAACCTTCCAATGGGTGCGACCTCCATCGAGATCCCTTGGGCGCAAGGGTGCCCGGCTGCCTGGTGCTGGGCCGCACGCAGCTCGGCCAGGTGGTCGTGCGGAGCGATCATCAGCATGCAGGCATCTGTGTCCGAGTGAAGTGCTGGAAGCCCCGCCCCTCTCCTGAACCCACCCCCATCTCACCGAAGGGGACATTGTTGCGTCCACCTGGCTTCCCAGGTGACAAGCCTGGAAATCACTGTGGACGATGCCTAGTCTCTTCCCTTGTCCTCAGGCTGCTGCCCCCTCAGCCCCAGTGCCTGACTCCAGGGTTCCCCGGTGTCCTTCCTCCGGGCTGCTGCAGGGAGAGCGTTCCCTCGAATGCCCACCTGCCCATGTGCGTTATCTTCCCGTGGCTGCCGTGACAAGGCGCTGCACACCAGGCGCTTACAGCAGCAGAAATGTGCTCGTTCAGAGTTGTGGAGGCCGAAAGTCTAAAACCAAGGCCAGAAGGGCCACATTTTCTCTGGAGTCTCTAGGGGAGGGCTCTTCTCGCCTCTTCCAGCTCCTGGTGGCCGCGGGCGTTCCTTGGCTTGTGGCCACATCACTGCACTCTGCCACCATCTCCATGTGGCTGTCTTCCTCTGGGTGTCTACTGTATTCTCTTCTTATGAGGGTGCCCATCTCCTAGCGCCCATCCAACTCCGCTCTGACCTCATCTTAGCTGAACTAATTACACCTGCAAAGATCCTTTCTCCAGAAAAGCATACCTTCTGGGGTTCCAAGAGACACGAATTGAGGGACACAATGTAATCCAGTACACACGTCGCCCTCCTCCGTAAAGCCCCAGGAAGCTTCTAGGCCCAGCCTTGCAGGCCCCCATAGCCAGGCTGGCCCTCGCCATCAGCTCACCAGAGTGCAGCTGCACAGAGTAACTCGTGCCTTCTAAAACGGCTCTGGGTGACACGTGTGCCCTTCTGCCTGGGATGCCCACTCTCCCCGACCCCCCTGTTCTCCTGGGGCCTCCCATCAGCCCCCGTGGCTCCTCTGTGGGGGCACTCTTCTGGCCATACGCCTCTTCCTATGTGATTCCCACACCGCCCATGACCTGCCTGCCCCCAGCCAGGGAACTCCAAGAGAAGAATTCCCTGGTCACTTCTGTGTCCTCACTGCCCAGTGCGAGCAACAGCAGGGGGTCTTTGGAGAGGAGTCAGCTGTGCCCATCCTTTGATGGAATTCTGTTTCCCTGGACTTGAGCTTCTTCAGACCTCGGTCAAGGAGCACAGAGAACGTGGGTGCGTGGAGAGTCCACTTTCTGGGTCATATGACTCTGGTCCTGGCCCCACCAATGAGATGCTTGTCTTCAGTGGTCCTTTTCCATGTTTGGGGCTGCGACAGACCAACACCTCTCAGACTGGGTCTCAGAGGCCATTTGTTATCATGCCTCATCAAGCTATGCACTTGTTCCCCTCATGGAAAGGGTCCGTCTGCTCTGGTACCTCTGGCACCTGTGCATCAGAAGCAGCTGAAAGCTGGCTAGGCCATGCTCTGATGGCAGGAGCTACACCAGCAGTTCCCAAAGCATGTTCTCACCCACTACTCCATCACAGACTTCATCGTGCCCTAAGCAGTGGGGAAAAGCTTTGTTCGCATCCCTTGTGGGTGATCCCAGGGATTCCCAGCACAAACAAGGTATCTTTTTCCTGTTGAAATGCCTTTCCCACACTTACGTAACCTCCAGAATCCTCTTCTCACACAACCCTGTTTGCTTTTGGCTGAGCTGGTGTTCCACGGGACACTGTCTGGGCATCCTTGGTCTAGCTGATCCCTACCATTTCCGAGGGAGACCACAACTTCTCAACAGGTCACTGGGGGCCGTGTGAAGTCAGCATGTACTGAACTTAAAAAGGGTCAGAGAAGAGCCGGGGAATGAGCTAGTTTGTTCCCTTCCTTTAACCCAGAAGGATGACAGGGCCAGGTGCCATTGTTCCTGTTCCCGGATGGAGAAATTCTGACTTCTCTCATCCACTCAACAAATGTTTGCTGAATATCTTTCCTAATCCAGACCCTGGATTTTCATCTTTTATTTAATGAACAACCTGGTGGCTCTTCTTTTTTTTCGTTAACTTTATTTTTGACACAATTTCAGACCTAGAAGAAAATTGCAAAAAGAGTACAACATTCCCATATGCCCTCACCCAGATTGCACAAATGTTAACATGTTATGATATTTGCTTTATTACTTTCTCTCTTTCACTTCTATTTTTTTCTAAACCCTTTGAGAGTCAGTTGTAAACATGATATTCCTTTACCCCTAAATAACGCAGTATGTGGTTCCTAAAACCAGGACATCTGCTTATGTAACCACAGTATAACTGTCGAAATCAGGAAATTAACACTGATACAATGCCATTATCTACAGATCTTATTCAGATTTTGCCAGTAGTCACAATGATGCCCTTTATAGACAATGAAAATTTCAGACCTCGTGTTCTATTCAGATGTCCTGTCTTGCCTTCTTAATATGAAACAGCTTTTCAGTCTTTCTTTGATGTTTTTAAAGAATATAGGCCCGTTATTTTGTAGAATGTGCTGTAAGCTACTCTAAGTTTTTTTAAAATCTCAATAAGATGCTTTTCAAAGTTTCATATTATACTGGTAATTTAGTCCTATAAGCAAAAATTGCCTCCTTTCTCTTTCCCTCTCTCCCTCTCTCCCTCTCTCTCTGTTTCTTCCTATAGTTCTTCTCCCTGACTTTATGAGAGTGCCCTGAGTTTATGTTGGGGAGCATTGAGGTTGTACAGAATCAGTAGGAGTTTACAATGTGGAGAGATTGGATTGGTTCTGCCTGCAGCTGTTACAGGAGACTTCATAAGGGAGGGGACATTTGGGGTGGGGCTTTGAAGGCTGTCTAGGAGCTCACTGTCCTAGGACACCATTACCTGTTTGCATCTGTTGCAGCCTTTCCTGCTTTTGGGTATCTGACCCTGGCCAGACAAGGCACCCCTTGAGGGCAGGATCTGTTTGTTTGTTTTTTTTTTTCCAGACGGAGTCTTGCTCTGTTGCCCAGGCTGGAGTGCAGTGGTGTGATCTCGGCTCACTGCAACCTCTTCCTCCCGTGTTCAAGTGATTCTCCTGCCACAACCTCCCGAACAGCTGGGATTACAGGCTCATGCCACCATGCCTGGCTAATTTTTGTATTTTTGTAGAGATGGGGTTTCACCATGTTGGCTAGGCTGGTCTTGAACCCCTGATCTCAAGTGATCCGCCCGCCTCAACCTCCCAAAGTGCTGGGATTACAGGCGTGAGCCGCCGCGTCCGGACTTTTTGTTGTTGTTGTTGTTTTTAAATCTCTGTCTCCACCCCGGGCAGAGAGTAGTGCTCCAAGACTCAAGGAATGGAAATGCGTCTTAGTGTGAAATGCCGTCGCAAATATGTTATTTTAAATAAAGCACTTCATTTTTTCCAGGTTGGAAAGTGCAATTTTTCTCAATGAGGAAGAAAAGTCATTCTTCAGCGAGGGCCGCTTTTCTGAGGAGGATGCCAGGCAGTTGCTGAGGCGGATGTCGGGCACTGATGTCTGCAGCGTGTACAGCCTGGGTGCGTGTGGGCGATGCCTGTGGCAGGGCTGCTGCCCTCCCCTTTCCCTTCCGCAGCCCCCGCTGCCTTGTCCATCCACAGATAGTGAGTGCCAGCCCCCGGGCACTGAAAGGTGAACAGACAGAGGCTGCCGCCGCCTCCAGGGCACACAGGGGCTGCAGAGAAGCCAGACAGGAGAGAGGATGGGTGAGGGGCTGGGGGCGTGGGAATGTGGCCCTGAGTCTCCCGTGGGCACCAGGGAAGCCCTTCCTACCCTGACCCCAGGCACCTGCCTGAGACGCTGGGCGAGGGAGAGGGTGTGGACCTGGTTCTAATTTGCCAGCCCTGAAGGCTCCTGTTCGGGGCCCAGCCCTTTGCCCACCGCGCTTTGCCTGGGTGAGGGTGACTTTTCTCCTCGCCACAAGACAAAGAACCCAGGCTGTGGTGTGACCTCGTCACCTGGCTGCCAGGGAATGTCATGGTGGGATCCCAGGGCTGCCGCCTTCTAAGGACAGAGATAGTCCCTCTGACCTCAGTGCCCCTCTGTGTGTGAAAGGTTTCTCTGGGGGCTGCAGAGCAATGCATGGATGAAGGTGGTATGTCATCCACAACATAAAGAAACATGGCAGAGGTCGTGCTGTTTGCTGGGTGTAGATAAACACATATGTGCCTACAGACCTACTTTTTTTTTTTTTTTTTTTTTGAGACAGAGTCCTGCTCTGTTGCCCAGGCTGGAGTGCAGTGGCATGATCTTGGCTCACTGCAACCTCCGCCTTCTGGGTTAAGCGATTCTCATGTCTCAGCCTCCCAAGTAGCTGGAACTACAGGCACACGCCACCACACCCTGGATTAGTTTTGTATTTTTTTGTAGGGACGGGGTTTGGCCATGTTGGCCAGGTTGGCATTATAAGGTGTAGGTGTTGTGGGGTGGGGGCATTACAGGGTGTAGGTGTTGTGGGGTGGGGCGTTGCAGGGTGTAGGTGTTGTGGGGTGGGGGCGTTACAGGGTGTAGGTGT